CTGAAAGTTTGTACCTTTATTCAATATCTCCCCATTTATCCTATATTCTAGGAGTATTTTCCTTATATTTCTGGAGTTTGACTTTTGTAGATTCAGTATGTAAGTGAAATAGTACAGTATTTGTCATTCTGTGTCTGGCTTATTTTATTTGGCAAAATGTTCTCAAGTTTCCCCCATGTTGCAATTGACAGAACTTCTCCCTTTCTAAAGGCTATATTATATTCCATTCTACATGCAGTCACGTACACACACATAACACACTTGTCATGTGTGTTCGGCAAACATTTTGTTTCCATATCTTGACTATTGTCAATCCCGCTTCAGTAAACATGGAAGTACAGATACCCATTTGGAGTATTGATTTTATTTCCTTTAGAAACTCATGCAGTAGTGCAATTATTGGATGGTATGTATAATAATGTTGATTGTCAAGCTGATTGACTGGAAAAATTATTAAAGCATATTTTTTGTATTTCTGGACAGGTCATACAGGTGTGATCTTGGCGACTATATCTGATCACTTATCCCTTCCTCCGTGGTACTCTTCTGTGCCTTGTTTCCCCGTACCATGAATTAAGCAATTTTGCTTTCCCAAGCTCTTCTACTATGATATTCCTTCTTTGAAGATAGCAAAATATAGACTATATTCTATGAGACTATGAGCCAAAATAAACCTCTCTTTCTTTAAGTTGCAGTGTTAGATAATTTGTTACCACAAAAGGAAAGCTGATTGTTACTGTAATATATAAACTTTATTGAATTAAAAAATGCCTATCAGATTAGTAGGTAATTTTCTAGATGTTCCTGGGGATGTCATGGAGGTATGACCTTGGGTACTGTATATGGACTCCAACTCCTCCCTTCTGGCACTGTTCCTCTGCTCTGATTTCTGACTACCATGAACTGAACATGTTTGCTTTATCATACATTTTCACCCTGATGTTTCTTCTTCCTTGTAGCCAGATGACAATGAACCAAATCCCCTGTAACTACAGTCTAAATTGAACCTCTTATTTATACTGTTGATCTCATTGTGTTTTGGTGCGATGAAAACTGGTATAGAAAATTGGTAGTGGCGAAGAGTGGCCAATGTTGTGACTGTACCTGACCATGTGACTTAGAAGACTTTGAAAATGTAGTAGTTTGTAAATTTGTGGCATGAAGGGTAGAGAGGATTTAGAATGCTGTAAGCAGAACCTGATGACTGATTCTGACCAGAGCTCAAAGAACTAGAGTGCTGATAGGAATGTGGATCGCCTGGCAAGTACAAGGTTGTGTGATCAAGGCCCAGTACAAAAAAAAAAAAAAAAAAAAGAAAAGAAAAGAAAAAAGAAAAAGAATGTGGATAGCAAAGGCCAGGCTCAGGAGAGTTCACTTGGGCATAAGAATTCCACTGGCATTGAATAACATTAGGTGGAATTATCAGCTTATTACGTATATGTGAAGATTAAGTATGATTTAGGGAGGTGTGCTTGATTGTCCAAATTGACAAGAAGTGCGCCTAATATTAGGTAGAATTATCAGCTTGTGACTGTATATGTGAAGATTAAGTGTGATTTAAGAAGATGTGTTTGGTTGTCCAAATTAACAAGGGGTGGATTGTGACCATTAATTGTGATATGCACTTTTGACTGGACTAACAATTGCCTAGCAGATTATTAAAGGACAGTTCTAGGTGTGTGTGTGAGGTGACTAGCGTGGATGCTGGCAAACTGAGGGCAAAGAACCACCCCATTTGTGGGTGGCACTAACTAATCGGCTTATAGTTTGAATTTGTTTTTTTAAAGGAAAAAGAGGAAGTCTGTGCATGTGAAGGGCTCCAGTTTGCTGGAGGGTACATCTTTTATTGCCATCTCCTTTGGACACCAGTGTCTAGTTTCATCGGCCTTCCAGTGCAGACTAATAGAGCAATCCTCAAGTGAGTTTTTGGGCCTGCTGCTATGTGTTCTTGATCCCTCTTTTCTGTGGCTTCCATATTCTTATGCTCAACAGGTACCCGGAACCTTAGATTCTCTCTTACATTCATGGCAACTGGTTGACTCTTGAGCCTCTCACCCTAAACTTACCTAATTAATCCCCTTACATAGTTATACAGATATTTTTTTACTGATTCTGATCCTCTAGAGAATGCTAACCAATACACTGACCAGTATAATATAATAGTTTTAGTTTCTTAATTTTTGAGTAATCTCTAGACTTTTCTGTAATGGTTATACTAATCTACATTTTCCCATGTAGTATACAAATATTGTTTTTTCTCCACATCATTGCTAACACTTTTTATCTTTTGTCTTGTTGATGATATCCATTCTTGCTGTAGTGAGGCAATATCTCATTGTGGTTTTGATTTCAATTTCCCTGATGATCACTGATGTTGGATATGCTTTCATATACCTGTTAACCATTTGAGTGTTCTTTTTGGAGAAATAGCTATTTAGGTATTTTTTCTGGGTTTTTAGTTGAGTTATTTATTTATTTATTATTGAGTTGTGTTTTACTTGTATATTTGAATATTAACTGCTTATTGATTATATAGTTTACAAATATTTTCTCTCATTTTTTAAATTGCCTTTCCATTTTGGTGATTGCTTGCTGTTATGGATTAAGAACCTTGTCAACTTAACACCAGCTGGATTACATCAGCACGGCATTGAGCGAAGATGCTCCACCTGAGGAAAGTTGCCAGGATAAATAGGTGGAGAAGAAGGGAGGCGTTGAGGCATTAATGCATTATTGCATTGCGTTATGGGTTCTCCTACATGTTGCTGTTTGAACTGTTGGTTCCCCTGGAGAAGCTTTGGTCCTTACATCGAGCATTGCTTCCTGGCTCCGGAGAGGAAGACGTGTGCTGCTTGGTCTCCAGGATGGGCTCGTCACACTGGCTTCCTGACATGTACCCGACTGTGCTTGTCATTGGAGGAGCTCAGGGCCTCCGTGTCGCTGAGGATGGCTATGGTGCCTTTCAGGAAAACCCTGGTCTTGTTGAGAGTACGATTTCTTGGCTCCAGCATACAACCCTCAATCTACCAGCACAGCTCCTTCACCCTGCTGGCATGAACTTTCTGGCTCCCACGCTTGACTTTTGGGCCTTCCCGGCATGGATCTGTAATAGAGACTGGCATGAGTCCTTCTTGTGGGCTCTGGACCCCCAGTTGAACTTGTGGGAGGTATTGTCATGAACTCTGGATTTTTATCTGAACTCGTGTAGGACATTGCTGTGGGATTTAGGCCCTTGACTAAAATATTCTATGTCTTTGGTGCTGTAGATAGATTTCTTGCATTTTCTTGTGTTAACTCCCGGTGGTGACCATTATAAAAATAATATTATAAACTCCATGTCCTGATTCTGTTTTCTGCACAACCCCTAACTACAACACTTGCTGTGCAGAAACTTTGTAGTTTGATGTATCCCCCTTTTATTTGGGGGGGGGTTGCTTTTGTAGCATATGCTTTCAGTGTCCAATTCAAAATATAAAAAACAATTAGCAAGATCAATGTGAAGGAGGTTTTCTCCTATGTTTTCTTTTGGGAGTTTTATGGCTTTATTTATGTTTGAGTCTCTAATTAACTTTAAATTAATTTCTGTGTATGATGTAAGTAATAAACGGACCTACTTTCACTATTTAAAATGTGGATATCAAGTTTTCCCAACACCATTCATGGAAGTTTCTTTTATCCATTTTATGTTTTCATTTCTAATCGGACAAGAAAAAATACATCCAGAACAATAGTTTCAGACTGCTAAATATTATACAAAGACAAAAGTCAGTCATCAAAATTGTTTTTGAAGTCCACCACAAAATTATCATTTGTACTCTGTTCTGATGAATTCTAAGGTAAGGAATTCTTGCTCAATAAGATTATCGTTCAATTTTCAATTTTTAATACTGTAAAATTACTCTTAATTTCTGTTTAAACATTATAAATTTGGAATCAGTCCTAAGTTCAAATGCCAGCTGTTACTAACTAGCTAGATGATTCCAGCAAGTCACCTTATACCTAAGGGTTCAATTTTATATGTAAAATCAGGTACACCTACCTCTCTCCCTAATTTTATAATTTTAAAGATTAAATGAAATATCATAAGTATTGTTTAATATAGTCTATGACATACTGTTTAATACAGTCTAATACTCAGTATTTTCATTATTATTTGTGCCATTAAAGCTATGATTAAATTTATGCATGAGCTTTTCATTAGGTATCTTATATCTAATGCCCAAAATGCTGTAACCCAAACACTTAGCTCAAGGATATTTGCAAGACTGAACTATTATTGTCATTTTCAGGATGGTAGATGATAAAAACAAGAGGTCTATGGAAGAAAGTTCAGTCTCATTCTTCTGTCACATGATTTAAAATTTAGGTAAAGAATTTAAAGCAAAATTCTTCCTAAATATCTCCTATACAGGGAGATATATTTAACTGTATGAATTGAGGCCCAGGAAAAAATATTTTAGGAAAATAGTGATGAACTTGTGTAATCAAAAAGTAATCTTTACTATTCCTTTGATAAATATAGGCTTCTGACCTAAAAGTACTTTCACATATACAATTCTTGAGGTCATTTTATAATTCCTGTAATAAGAAAGCTAGATTGGTATCATACTATTGTGAATTTATGCATAATAGGTCATGTATAACTTTGATTTAAGGTACAATGAGATGTTTTTCTGCGTGGATCACATGGATGTTTTGTATCAGAAGGTCAATGACATTGCTATTTCTATTAGGAAATTTTTAAAAAATAATATATTTATATATGTTAGAGAAATCAGCTTCAATAATGACATTAAAAAAGAAAAAATTTTAGGAACCTAATTATGAAACACTTTGCATCAATCATTGCTGTAATTTAGGATAATAATGCTGGTTATTTTGCTACTCTGCTGAAGTCCTCTTTTTTGAGCCTACACTGAACCTGTAATACTTATGGAAAGAGTTACCATAGCAACCTATATTGATGTCACAAGCTCAGGCTTCTGACTTCATTGCATAATGCAGTAGCAACTGGATTTGCAGCAGAAACACCCTGCTAAAGAACAAGTACCTTGATTCACAGCAAAGAGGACAAAGAAAAACAGCAAGTTATAGGGGGTGAATCCTGGATTGTGAGTCAGTCTGCCTGAGTTCTTATTTTAACCCTGCCTCTCACTTGTTGCCTTGTTTTGAGTAATTGTGTTTACATGTGTGCACTAAAATTTGAAGCAAAAAACCTCCTGTCTCTGGGATGGGCATAGCAAAGAAAAACCCAGAAAAGCTACAATTTTACATTGGTAGAAAGCACAGTAAGCTGAAGCACCCTAAAAATAACTTGGAAAGTAAGGAATTAATAATGCTGTGCAATATGTAACTAGCTAGCTCATAAGACAAAGAGGACACTTTGAATCTAAAAGCATCTAGCTAGACTTCCTATTTTTAGTTTTTAAATTAGTAGTGGACATGTCTGACGTCTCAATCTTAATCTTAGTAAAAATACAGGAAACTCATGTAAATATGTCACTGTGTCTATATGCCTATACTTCATTAAAGAGGTTTTTATGAATATTGAAAAGTAAAAGATTAATCTATCTAGCAATGGGTATGATGTCTCTCATGCTTATACTGTAAACATATAATAAATATTTTATAATTTTATCATGCAATTATTGATCTTCATTAGAAAATAACTGAATAAGTGAAATGGTTTTTTAATTTAAGATTTTAAAAAACCTAACAATACTTTTTTATAAAGAAATACTGAAACTTTCTATTGGAATTATATCACTCATTCATTATTTCCATTAGACTAATTTTTATTATTTACTATGTTTCAGAATGGAGGTATGAATATTTTAGAATTTCAAAAGGTATTTAATCAATTTCTCTGCTAGAAATTAAAGTAAAAATGAAAACATGATGTAGTTGTAAAATTTTTATTTTATGTAAGGTAACAAGTTTCAATATATGGTAAAAAAAAAAACTAAGTCTTGTAGTCCGTCTAGCCACGTGTACAATCACTCCAAAGTAACCAGCAAAAATTTTTCATGCCATAAAACTTCATTAGCTCATTTCCATGTTTGATAACCTCAATGAAGCTATAATTTTCCGTCTTAGAAATATTTTTACTGTGGGAAAATGTAAAGGTACAAATTGTGGGAATGTTTCTGAGTAAGAAGTTAAATGCAACTGATTTTTGTGTTACAAGATGTGCAAGCATTTATACTAGATTCAAAATCTTGCACAGTCTTTCAAAAAACAGAATTGAGTGTTCAGTGTTTTATAGAATACATAAAAATACAAATTATTTCTTTCATTATAGACATCATGACTATTTAATTAGTTAATGAGATCTTTTCATTATACTGGCAAAAGCTTCTATGTATGTGAATATAATTCGATGATTTGTACTAACTTTAGCAACATGAAAAGGTTCTAAACATACACAGTAAAATCTGCATAAGAGAAATCAGTTTGCTACATCTGTAAAAACTGTAAGCCAGGGAGTTGCATTGGTTCTTTTCTAAATGGCACGTGGTGCCATTTTGTTAAATTCTACCATCTAAGTGCAGCCTTTCAAAATAGCAGAGGTAAAACTTCTACTGCAAAATTATGATGATCAAGGAATCATAAATATAGGAGTTTTGTTTATTCATTAAGCTGATCTGATAGGTTTAAATAACTTCCCCAAAGTTAATTGGTAGAAGAATTTAAACCTCAACCAACTGCTTGTTTTGACACATCAGATCGTCTTGGTCCTGCTTGATGGCTTTTGTCCAACATCACTTCTCTGCCTATTCTCAGTAATTTTGTACCATCCATCTCTCAAGATCTGCTCTTTTTTTTCTGAGTTTGTGGCTATAAATTAAGCTACTGATAGCTATTCAATTAAATTCACTCAACATTTTGAAATGTGTGTGTGCTGAGATTCGTGGTACACAGAAGTAATATAAGACTATTTATAAAACATTACTTGAGTGACATTATTTAGAAAAGTAAAATAACTATGAAAATCATGAAAATGCTGTCAAAAATGTGTTCATAAAAGCTGAGAGGATTCCAGGAACAGTATAGAGCCCTTGGATTTTTTCTAAAGACCATAGATTTTTCCAAAGGTCTTTTTTCCCAAAGAAATTTTCTTAGTAGAAGTAATATAAACTGGTATTTGTCATTCTGTCTTTTTTCTCTATCTATCTTGTTCACTCAACTGCTCTCAGCCCATTTTTCTCACCATATAAATAATCCACATAATTGCTGAAACATTAAGTAGAAAAGTTGAGCAAATATAAAATAAAAGGATAATCTCATGTTTGAAAGGATATAAGAGAAATCAGCTCCCTACATCTTTAAAAACTTTAAGCCCATGGAGCTGCGTTGGTTTTTGTATCTTCTACATACCCTTTCTCAAAAATTTTAAGCTTATGTATAAGTTAAGCATTGCATTTTAAAAATGAAAGCACACTCAGCTTTGTAACTTATTCAAACAATATTGTGTAAGTATTTTTCTGTGTTTATAATTAGAGGTGTATCTGAATTTAAATTACATAAAATTCTACTCCCTGGAAGTGTCATAATTTAATCATTTAGCTATTTTTAGACCTTATTCAATTTCCAGTTTCTTTCTCACATAATACATGTAGTTAAAACCTACATCTATGTATCTATCTATCTACAATCATTCTTATACATACAACTTTGAACACCTGTCAAATTTTTCCTCAGTTGAAAACAATTTACTGAGGTATAAATTACATGTACACACATTTTCTCATTGTAAAACCTGAAAAGTGGAATTCTGGGGTCAAAGGATGCAAAGTATTGTAAGAGTTTTAATGCATATTGATAAACTGATAGAAATGTTGGTTGATAACATTCTAAGAATGAGACGTATTTGTCCACTTGCATGCTACTACTGACTATAAACATAAATTTTAATGATAACAAACTGTTAGAGAAAATATAGTACTTTTTAAATTCCTGTTGAGTCTTGAGATGTTGAATATTTTTTCATATGTGAATTTAATTCAATTCCACTTAACGTCAATTAAAAGAAGCACCTTTTCATTCATCTAGTAAGATGATTTTTCATATTTTGTTCTTAAGGAATTAGTGGAATACATTACATTGGCAGACATTCTGTTGATAAACTGCTTGCATTGTTGCATAAGTTGAACAGTCCTGATACTATTTTCTACATGGCTGTGTTTAATTTAATGATATTTTATTGAATATCTTTATGTCTATATTCTCCAGGGAGGTTTTCTATTTCATAATATGCTTAAGTTTTGATATAAGGATCATATTTTCCTTACGGAATGAGGTTGGAACAGTCTTCTATTTCCTTTTTCTGGAAAAGAAATTTTAACTGTTGCTTGCTCATTTATGTTAAAATTGCCTGTAAAAAGTGGGTGTTTTTGTTGTCATTTGTTTTGGAGAAGTGTGGCTCATTGCATTATAGTAGAATTGCCTGTAATACTGTGTAAACTTTTGTTCAGCTTTTTGTTTGGGATGGAACGAAAGATCATTTAAATTACTGACTTGAATTCCTTAGCAGTTATAGGTCTACCCAAGTTTTTGATTTTTTTCTAACCAGCTTTGTTTGGTGTTATACTTTTCTAGGAATGTCTATTTTGTTTTGAGTGTGAGTTTTATGATTCTTTGTAGTTTTATTAATTTTCTTAGTATGTGTTGGCAGTACATAATGATTACATTCACCATGGGAAATTAATACATGTACACAACACATCTTAATCTTTTAAATGTCTGATCTATAGCCTTTTATTTAAAATATGTTTTAATTTTTATAACGTGTTTTTAAGACTAATAGAATTTTAAATAGGGCAAAGAACTAATTAAGGTTTTGATTTCTGGTCTTTTGGTCTTTTGCTGATAAAGTACCCTCAAAACATAGCCAAAAACAACCACTATATCCGTACATATCAGGATTTTGTGAGTCAGGAGTTGAGGTAGAGTTCCTGGATCATGCTTTTGTTTCATGTGGGTTTGCGTGATGGCACTTAGCTGATGGTAGCCTGACCTGGAGTCCGAAATAGCTTTCCTCATACACTGATGTATAGGGCTGAGCTACACACGTGTAGCACAGACCCACTACCAGGGTCCCTCCCACAGAGAAGTAATCAGGCTTCTTAAGTGCATTCAGGGCTCCAAGAAATGGAAAGAAGTTGCAGGTTCTGTAGACATGGAACTGGCAAAGCATCCTTTCTGCTATAATCTTTGTCAAAATGTCACAAAATAAGATTCAAGGGAGAATAGGTTGATCCCTCTTTCCACTGGGATGAGAATAAAATTTGGGGCCATCTTTAATTGTTATACTGATTCTATATTACATTTTAGCTTTCTATTTCAATAATCTGCTCTCTCCTTTGTTTTAGAATTCTGTTTTCTTTGCTAATATTCTGTTGACCTCTCATACCTCAACTTCTTAAAATGAATATTTGAATCATGGTCATCATTTCTTCTTCTAATATAGTACTAAGATATAAAATATTTTTCAGATTACTGTTTTAGTCACCTTGTAAAGTTTTAACCACATTAGTAATTTACTGCTCACTGAGTTATAAGTAGTTTCACTGTCCAATTATTATTTCCACTGCAACCTGTGAGTTATGTAGAAACATGGTTTCAAAATTCCAATCATGTAGATGATTAATAATATATTTCCGTGTGACCTAAGAGACATATTAATTGCACTGTGTGACAATTGTTTGCATCCTGATTTGAATAAACAAACAAAACTATGATATCATCAGGCAAATTTGAATTCTGACTGGATATTTGTTAAAAGAATTTGTTAAAAAAGACATGATTGCATTATGGCCATAATTTTTATTAATATTTCTGAAATATTAATTGATGAATTTGTTACATGAATGAAAGTAGGTATACAAATGTGAAATACTGTCTATTGATTTAATAATTGTTAAAGCTAACTATAGAGTACCTTCATAACTCATGTGCTATTTCATCCACTCCTGAATGTTAGAAAATTTTCATGAGAAGTTAAATGGTTATCTCTTTAATAATGATTTCATTTAATTGCATTGTAGTTAGAAAATATGGAATGGAGTGTATACATATGAACACAGATAAACCACTGTACATATACTAATAC